AAGACAATACCCTTTTCGCATCACTTGTCGAAGGGGTTCCCACTGGATTCAATGATGATATTCCATCATCCAACTGCTTTGCCAAGAAACAGGAGGATGACAATCTGGGTCGTCAACCACTTAGCATCCACATGGATAATTGGCGTTCTTCTTCCGATCGACCAGAACTTACAGCTGAGCTTGTGCAATCAGAAGTGAATCAAGGATGGGTAGAACCATTCAATGGTTCCATTGAAGATGCTCAAACCCGTTGGCCGACTGGAGTCGCGATTGGCCGCTTGGGTATAGCTGTTTCAGACTCGAGAGATCCTCGTTTAGTTGTTGATAGCTCCATTTGCGGTACCAATTCTTCCTGTTCTGTTCGCGAACATCAAGCCCTGCCGACATCCAAAGATGTATTGCGGACCTTCCCTCTTAGGAATAACGACGCAGAGCTTGGCGGACTGTCTCTCGACATTAAAGCAGCTCACAAAAGAGTAGTCATCCGTGAATCTGAAAGGGGGCTACTCGGATTTTCGCATGCTGGCCGCCTATATTTTTATCGTGTGGCTCCCTTCGGAGCCATCTTTAGTGCACATTGGTGGGGAAGGTTAGGCGGCTTCATCGTCAGACTTTCGCACCTCCTGATTTACATCAAACATGCCCTTTGGCTATGCGTTGATGACTTCTTGTTCGCGCAAAATTGGCAAGTCCTCCCTTTATCATCGGCCTTCATTTGCATTTTCTTTCAATTGATGAAGATTCCAGTAAGCTGGAAGAAATCAGTGATAGCCAAAGAGCTTCAATGGATAGGCTGGAGATTTAATTTTTCCGCTGGTCTGGTATCATTGGACCCTACCAAACGCAAGAAACTGATCAACCTTATTGATGCAATTTCTGGGAAAACCTACATCCACAAGCGTGACATTGAACGATTTCTGGGACTGGCGATGTGGGTGACCCAACTATTTTCCGGTATGCGACCCATGCTTCAACATTTCTATGCTGATTTGTTTTCATCTCCTGCTTCATTGTACAGCATTGATCCGGGAATGTGGCCCAGCCTTTGGAACCACCTGGATGACAAACTGCAATTCATATCAACTCCTCCAGGCACAGGGATCCCTAAACATGGTATTTTAGTCTCCGTTAGACATCAGCAAGTTTTCTCTAAAGCAGATCTTGAACGTATCAGACTTTCTGAACGTCGAATTTGGCTTCGTATTCGAAATCCCAACTCTAGCAAGCGATCCCTGAGCAAAGCAAGTGTGCGATGTCTTCAACTATTACGTACCTGGATTTTAAATTTGTGCCCAACCCGTTCCATGTACCCTAAGCCAATTTGGCCGGGTTTCTCAGCTGCCGATGCATGTGCAACGGGTTCTACATTTCAGATTGGTGGCTTCATCGAACTGGACGACATGCGACTTTGGTTTTCTGAAAGGTTTACGGTTGCAGACATCACTGCATTGGGGTTGCCAATGCGCTTAGAAGCACAAAAAGATATTGCTTGCTATGAGACTCTGGCCCAAATGGCTCTACTGCACATATTTGCTTTCCAATATCCTCATCAACGACTTCGAGTGATCTTACCCACAGTGAGTGATAACACTTCCGCTGAAGCTGGCGTCAATCAACTTTTCACCACTAGCGAGCCGCTTTGTTTCTTTTTGGAGAAAATTGGCCAACTTAGCAGTTCTTTGAATGTTGACATGGACACCTCTCACATTAGTGGAGTGGACAATGTCACCGCAGATCTTTTAAGCAGATGGGACTTTGAATCAATCCTCCCTACAGGTTTCACTCAATCTAATCGTGTCAAACTCACCCTGTCCGATTTGTGGATGACTAAATCATCCCTGCGAGTAGTTCCACCGAATCTCCAACTCCTTTGGTCGTTACCGACTTCATAGCCTTCCGGTGCTGATTTGATCCACGCTTCGTTTGGTCGATTTTATAGGCGTTTCAAACCAACACCATAGTTTCATGTGGTCGAATCGATCCATAAAACTCTTGTTGCTTTGTGGGATACTGAAACTGGATCCCAAAATTGAATGGATCAACAGCACCGGAAAAATAGAGCTGCTTGAGTAGCCTTTGACTTGTGAGGGAAGTGCATTAAGTAGAACTTTTCATGTACTTGTTCATGGATGTTTTAATTAATCAACCCCGCAACGCTGGCTCAAGCACTTCACTCACAGCTTCAATAGCTTTGGGAATCAAATTTTTCCCTCCCACCCTCAACCTTAAATCATCATGTTTCCTATTTCCTGTTTCCTGGATGTCTCGCCAAGTCAGCTACAGCGGAAATGGCCAGTAATCCAACGTTTTATCGGATTATCAGGTGAGCCTGTGTCACCTTCGGCATCTGGGGATCACGACAGGGGGTAGGGAACTTGTGCAGCCCTTTGCCATCCCTTCGTGCCGGTTCTACCAAACACCCTCCGAACCAACGCTCACAGCAGTCAAGTCGTTTGGTCTCCCAAGGCAGAAAAGCGCAGGAGGTGTGCAACACCAAAAATTCAGATCTGGGTCGTGTGAAATGATGTGTCACCGTCATACCCCATGAACGCCAAAGTTCTTTGAGCAAATGAGTAAACCACCTGCATCGTACCTTGAAGGATATACCAATCAGACTGCTCCACGGGCGGTCACGTGGGTCTGTCCAGTCATCACAATGAAGTGGACCACCCTCCCCATGGCACAGCATGTAATCAGCATAGAGTTGGTAAAACGAGATCCATGTTGCCGGCTCAGTGACTGAATGAATACCCTGTAAATACCATCGCGCCACACTCAAAACCATACGTTCACCATACTTGTCACACAACTTCTTAGCAACCCAAGTCACCTCCGGAGCTTCAACCCAGACAGGTTGAATGGGACTGGGTCGCGCTGAAATCGTCTGCTGCAATTCCATCCCCTCTGGGGCTGCGTCACACGTTGATGATAAACCACATCGCGGCTAATGCGCATCAAAACCTGTCTGACCTGATCTGTAATGTGCATTGCATGGTGAAATTCAGTTCGAAACTTGTCATGAATTTTCCAAAAGTTGTGAGAGCGGAGGAGGTGAGCCACCTTCGCCGCATGGTCAACCAGGCTGTTATGCAAAAAACACCACTGATGGAGTCCTGACACGCACGTTTCATGGTCTTGATGAGCTGCAACTTTGGTGATTACAACGTTGTTGGGACCAATTGCGTCCAACAGGTCACGGATTTCTTCCCAAAGGTCGGAATGTTTCCCATTGGGCTTGACCCTCCAAGTTTTGCCTAGCAAGGCACGCACCCTTACCACCACTCCATTGCAGTCACACCAGAGGCGAACTTTGGTACTAGCTGCGTGAGCAATGCGCAGGGCTTCAAGGACTGCTCGAACCTCGGCACGAAAGGCGGATTGCAAAACCCCTGCCAGGGCGCTGGCGGCCAACACAACCGAGGCATGACCATTGGAGACATCATGTGAGCAGGCTTGGATGACGGCCCAACTAGCCAAACGCCATGGTTCAGTGGGAAAGTGGCATGAACCATCAGTGAACAGATCAATCCATCCATCATGTGCAGGCTGGAGCGCAGAGAGAGCATGTGGGGATTCTTCAATTGCTACTAGCGTGCTATGGTATGCAATCCAGGAGGCAGGTCGAAACCCCCAGCCGTAGCAGGTAAGGTACTCAGGCAAGGTGGGTATTTGGGCCCACACTTCCGGGTCAAGGCTGACACGATGTTTGGCAAACGCATCACACTGCCAAAATCTGTGATACCTGGAATCACTGCACTGACAAAATTGACAAAGGTCTTCACCTGGAGTCTGCCAATGCTGGGCTGCTTCCTGGGTGAAGTGAGCCCCATTCAACAACTTGCGCCCAAGTCCAGCGTCTTCCGGGGAGAGGGTTCGGATCCATTTGCGCGTTCCGAACAGATCGGCTTGGTGTAGGTTGGCAAACCCTGCTCTGTGACTAAGCTGTTGGGAAACAACTGCCTGCCATGACAGTTGCGCACGCCAATCAATCTCAGGCAGGTTCGTGGCAAACAGGCAAAATGGCCCAAAGCAATCTTCAACCTGGCCATCGGGTCGAACAGACCACCCAAGGCATTGCAGCCGGGACAGCAAGGTCTGGGTAATGGTGTTGGCTGGCAAGTCAGTACATCCAAAGGCCAGGCGAGTCAGGACTGGCTGTATGAAATCCACCGCAGCACAGTCCCTCACGCAACGGATGGTTTGTAACACCGACCAAAACAAGGGATCACACACCGGGTGTTCAATCATGCCTAACTGGATCCATGGGCTACAGCCTGCCCCATCAGCTTGGAGGCCTCGCATCGCACCGGCTCTCAGTCTCCTGAACATGTGATGACCTAGGCCTGTGCTGGCAATACCATGTAAGCCTCGTGGCCATGCTGCCATTACCAAGGCACGAGTCTTCAGGGGGTAAGGGCATGGGGATAGCCTCAATCGGTCCCAAAGGTCATGGAGGTCATTCACTCTGGTTTGCAACGTCTGGTTGGTATGCTGCTTGGTCAATTGCAAGTGGGCGCCAAGGTTTCGTCCTGCATGGGCAACTCGGAGACCAGTTTGGCGGAGGTCTTTCCTGCCTCCGGGTGAGAGGCTCCATACATAGGTCTTCCTACGGTCAAGCTGGAGGTCAGTCAATGCGCAGAATGCCTCAAGGCGATCAAGTGCAGCTCCAATGTGCATGGGGTCTCGCACCAACAACTGCCAATCGTCAACATAACTCAATGTGCGATAGATGGGAGTGAGTTCACCCATCCACCAATGGAGCAGGCAGTCAAGAAGGATCATGGCCAACACTGACAATCCATCGCCTTCTGCAAAGCCTGTGACGGACATTGTGGCTGGCGATAGGCTTTGTCTGACCTCAAAGTGCCTAGCCATTTGCATGGTGCAGCCTGCCCATCCTGTCAGCACATGCGCTGGAAGTTGCATCAATCCAGCCAGCTCAAAGATGATGGGACGACTGAGACAATTAAAGGCCTTCACAATATCTCCTACGAGCCCAGTCAGGGGAATCCCACAGTCATGACTTTCCTCAATGGAGAGAAGGATGGAGTGCCACACTTGGCCGGCATGGCCACCAACACGTGACCCATGTAACCCTGTGGGCAACCAGTCATCAAGGGCAGCAATGAGATTCCTCGAGTGATAGGAGGACCAAAGCCGGTAACCCAAGCTCAGCACGGTGATGGGCCTAAAATCGGCGGCTGTCTGGGGGAGGGGGCATTTGGCTAATGACACCACTCTACCCGCAGTCATTTGGGTAGGCCACTCACCACTTTGTTCCGCATGACGATAGAATTGACAAAAACTCTGCAGAACTGCATCCGGCTGGGCCCGGAGGTCTTTCAATGTAACACCATCAAGGCCTTTGGATGTCTTGGCTTTCTTACGTTTGAGTTCTTGCCGGAGTGAGGCAACCTCCAATGGTGGGGAGTGACAAGGCACCGGTTTGGCATACTTTTTCGCAAAGGTCAGGATCCCTTCCCACTGGCTATGTGGGACTGCAGCATGGCGTTGCCAACGTTGGGACCAACTGTGGCGAAACTCGTGGAACAACTCTTCCAATGCACCGACAAAGCGGGTTTGGGTACAGACTTCACCCGTGGCATCACTGACAGGCTGGTCAACCCAAAGCCACTTATCTTCAACATGGATGATGTTCATGGGCTGGCCTTTAACAAAGACAGGTTTGGCAAGGTCCCAGGCCCCGACTTGGTCGAGGTGTAGGCATTGGGTGTCTTCATCAACGTGGCAGATTTTGCTTTGAATCGGCTGCAACAAGAGGTCTACGCTCTCAGGTCCGGACTGGCGGATGTCCTTGAAAATCAACTGGGGAGATGCCAGGCGTTTGGCTTTGGCAGTGGCCCGGCTGGACTGATGGAGTCGCTTCTCTAGGGCTCGAAAGGCTAGTATAAAGGTTGAGTACATGGCTTCAGCAATCTCAATGTCGGGTGGAATCAACGGGCACTGGGATGGGGCCCCGTGAACATCATATTGAGTATGCTCCCACCAAGCTGGGAAATGAGGTTCAAACCCTTTTGCACGGACGATGGCACCCCAAACATTGGCAGCATGGCATGGGTCAGCAGCTTGCTTCGAAGACCTGGCAAAGCGGACGTAGGCTTGCAAGCGTCGGGCTTGCCTGTACCAGTGAGCATGTTGAAGTGACATCCCTACATACTGTGGTGCAATGTCTCCGGACCGGGGGGCTTTCAATGGGGCATGTGATTGGCCTACCACCTTCTTTGGGGCTAATGTCTGGGCGCGACCCCGACATCTTTTGGGAAGTGGTGTTCTGCTCTGCTTAGATGCGGCAATTTCGATGTCATTCCACATGTCAGCATACCGGCGGGTAGCTGTGCCAGGGGAAATGGGTTTGATTGGTTCAACATCAATCTGGGGCCAGTCCACCGGGTGTGGTTGCCTCCAAACAAACCTGGGAATCTCACGAATGGTCCCTCGAAAGGAGGCTTGGAGAACACTATGGTCTGGCCACAAATTGTCAATGAGTTCAACGGATTGGAGCAATGTTTGAAGCTCAGGTGACAGATACATGAAATCAACCCTTGTGGCACACTTGCAGGTGTTCAATATCGGTTTCCCCCATCGCTGGGTAGCGATTGTTTGGATGTCTTTGAACCCGGCTGCTTCCAGGACTTCAAATGCCGCAACATCATGTTCACCCAAGTTGAAGTCACCAGCAACTACCCGCAACCCTGTGGAATAAAGGCAAACCTGAGTGGCAACTGCCCTCAGAAGCTTTTCATTGTGTTGCAAGTAGTGGGGGTGGCAAGGGCCAGCTGATTCCCCATACAAGGTACCCATGGTGATCCACATGTCATGTAGCAAGGTCGAAGTGACCAGTACCCTACCCGATGCGTGCAAATCAGCATCCCAGGTCATAGGCGTAGCCCTGGTCGGGTGTTTGGACAGAGCTGCAACTCCTCGCCAACCTCCGGATGTTTGGGAGTGGGCTCTGACTGTGGCAGGATATCCAGTAATCAGGTATTGGAACGGAGATCTTGTGACTCTTAAACCTCTGCGAAAAGACGAAACCGTTTTGGTAGACAAGTGGGTCTCAGTAATTGCAAGGAGATCACAGTGGTGCAAGTACTGGTTAATCACTTGAGCTTTCCCCGCCAATCCCGAGGGATTGAAACTTCCAATGCAGAAGTCCATGGCCACATCTGGATGTCGTGGGCCAGGGTTGGCAGCCTCTCCCAGGCGGCACCCGGCAACCACTAGGAAAACATAGCAAAAGCTTGTGAAACGTCTGGGCACTCGTAAGGGTGAGTGCTTGGCAAAATGTTGGAGACACACTCCGATCAGCAAAATGCCGCAACAAAATTGGAAAAACAGGGTCATGGGGTACAGCAGGCATCGGAACCCACCGCTCATCATGGTGCACATCACTAGACACAGCAGGAAGAGGGATCCAAGGGCACCTGCTACCCCACACCGTCATTCATTGTCATCTCGGGGCCGCTTCAGGATGCTTCTGATCTGAGACATTTGGGACTCGAACATGGCCTGCAGATTTTGTTGTTGGGTTTCGATATGGCCCCTGAGCTCAGCTCCCTGTGACTGCAATTGGGTTTGGACAGAAACCAGCTGTGCAGCATGTCGCTGTGCATGGTCATTCACGGTGGCTTCCAAGGACGCATGCTTGTGCATCATGGTATGCATTTGCTGCTCTAGCATCTGGACCCTGTCAGGGACATCATCAACCTCCATCTGGCTGCTACTCTGGGGGAGACTTGCCAGAACCGCCTTTTGGATCTTGCTCTCCAGTTGCTTCAGCCCTTCGGAAGCATCAGTCCTACCCGCTGACTGGGCAACGTACCCACCCCATGGATCGGCCTGGAGCCAGGGATCACTAGGCACTGGGGAGGCACCGATCTGCGTATTGCACAATGCAATTGTTTCCGTCGTGGCAACAGGACGTGCTTTGGTGTCTTTGACATCTTTCAGACCCTTGTGGCGCGAAATCAAGACATCACCATGGCTCATTGTCCAAAGGTTGGCTGGAGGCTCCTCTGTCGATTGTATGAGCCACATTGATCCTTTGTTGTCCACTGAAGCCAGTGGCTGAAGCGGTCGCGCCTCCCAGGCCATCTGGTGCAAGGCTTTGGTCAGACTGTTGCGGTCGGTTCCAAACGGGAACGGACCCGCCAGGAACTGTTGCTTTGGTCCTGCAGGGAGGTAGACCACATCGGGTCTCACCGATTTGGAGAGCTCACTGGCCTGGGTTGCCAAAGTGCGAAGCCCAATCCTTTCCCCTACTCTGGCGATGCCGATAGCAGTAGGGTTGGTTTGGCACATGTGATTCAAGGCCGAACGCTGCATTTTGGGCAACCAAACGATGGCATAATCGTCATGGATGGTCCTGGAGTCCAATGATCGGGGCTCAGCATAAATGCCCGCCACCCCACTGAGCTTCAACAGTGGCTGAACCAAGCAAATGGGTACCCGGATGCTGACCCCAAACATGATAGCACTCTGAGGTGGTTCAGGCTTGTAGCCGGCCCGCATGAATTGTCGGCGCCAGACGTCAACCAGGGCATCCTTCAGGGCAACTTGCTCAGTATTGTGCCAGTGAGGGCATCGACAGTGTTCTTCCCTACACATGCGTAGCAAAGGGAGATGATGGACTACATACTTCATGGGGCCCTGGAGGAACTGGTCCCAGGTGCCTTCAATTTCATCCCTGAAGACTGTCAATCGCAAGGTGCCAACATCAACCGTGTCAATGTGGACTGGGGCTTTCCCTGGTGCTTTGGTCACAGGGCTGCTCCCGATCTGAACCAACACCATGTCAATGAGCATTGGCTCTTGGTTGACCACAAACCGGCAAGGAACCGTGACATCACTATGCGGCAGGTTGGTTTTCAGCTCCTGGGCTGTACACTGCAATATCAGTAGCGCCAATGGCAGCTTGGAGACCTGGGTACCTTGGGTCAGGTACGGGTCAGCTTCAGTCAACGTGACAATGACAATCCCTTCTGTGACCGGACCAACCGCATTGAGGGGTTGTTGACTCAAGGGGTGCCCATCCGCTTGAAATGCACCTGGTTGGATGGCAAACTTTGCAGGGTCAAGTGCAATAGGTTTGTCTTCTACCGGTGCCTTACGGCTCTTCTTTCCCCCCTTCGGACGTCCCACTGGCCCATTTCCAGCAGCAGCAGCTACTTTGGCCTGCAGCTCTGACGGCAGTAGAAACTGGTACTTGACCTGGTTCCCCAGGGTTTTCAATTGCTTCCACGGCAGTTGGGATGCTAGGGCTTCTTGAATCGGTTGGGCGCCAATTGAGCGCACGGCTGCTTTGGCCCTGCCAGGGGCATGCTCAGGAGGCACTCCGTGCTGAATCAGGAAGGGGGCAAGTTCCGCTTCAACCTGTTCAATGATTCCATTTCCCCATTTCCACGGCTTAGGGCAGGTCATGTGTGTCAAAGCCACAGCGAGGAATCTGGCTCTCAGGTTGTGGTGCAGGGCATACACATCGTCAGCAGAGGTGGGCAGCGTCCAATTGGCAAGCATGTGTGCTACAAACGCAATGGCCGTAGTCCCACAACCCTCAGGCATATGGAACATACGGATTTGTCGGATGGTCTGATGAGATGAAAGCCCCATACATGCAGCGGCAACAGCAAAGAAACCCTCCAGGCTTGTATGATCAGTCGGCTGGGAATCCCATGTGTGGACATGAAGGCACTGTGCTTGCGGGATCATAACTACTGGGATCCAATGGGACTGGATCAGCACCACTGTGACCACAATACACGGGCTAGAGCAATGCAGTTGGAACCATTGTTCACAGTTGTCGAAGGACGTGGCTAACCATCCATCAACCAGCAGGGGGTCCAAAACTACAACTTGCCGACCGGACAACTTGGCTGGGAATCGACTCAGTGCCCATGCGGCAACGTCATGACAGTGCCATCGAATTTCATCGTCAGCCCAGACCATTCCTTGGTTGGCCAGGAGGTGCTTGCGATCTTCAGTGGTGATCGTCTGAGACAGCAATGCATTCACCATGTCAGGGGTGGTGGAATGTGAACATCCAAGGCGCATCAAACCTGCCGCATCCAACATGACAAGGGGACACTGATTGATTCTGGGTGACAACGGTGGCGATGACATACCTGAGGCAGCCGACCCAACATTGGATGCAGTGATGCCAAGAGGTGGATTCAGCGGCACTTCATTCTTCTCTGGCATGCGATCAGACCCAGGTGTCATCTCAACAGTGGGCAATTTGCAGGGGAGTAGCCCACATTCCCCATGTCTGGTGGCAGGACCAGTGACTTCAGCATGACCTGTCGATGGTTCAATGGGCGGCTCAACCTGCAGAGTGGCCACAGGCGGGCTCTCTGCTGGAATGGTGGTCGCACGACCTGGCAGCTCTTGCGGTGGGTCTTCAGGGCATGCTACAGGTGCCAACAGCGACACATGACGGGTGCTATCACCGTGGCTGGCCTCACCATGGTCCTCTTCCGGGCATTTGGAAGGTGTCATTGCACTGGCTGTGCTCACCGTGGGCAATTTGAAGGGGAGTGGCCCACATTCCCCATGTGCAGGGCTCGGACTAAGAGCTTGAACATCAGTGGGCATTAGGTCGGGGAGTGGCCCACATTCCCCACTTGCAATCACGGGTGCTGATAAACGTTTGGCAGGAGTCGGACAAACAGTGGGCATTTGGTGGGGGAGTGGCCCACATTCCCAATTGGCTGGCATTGGCATCCCTAGCAATCCATCAATAGCCTCACTTGGCTCAGCACTTTGGGCAGGCAGCCCCGGTTCTGACACACTCACAGGCACGGCAGATGGCGGCTCTGTTGCATGCAAATTGGTGGGCAATCTGAAGGGGAGTGGCCCACATTCCCCGGAGCCTACCGACTGCTCGGGTGCACAACTTGCAGATGGACCTACCGGATGCTTTGATTCACGGACACCAGACGATGAAACAAACCCTGCAACTGGATGAGGGATGACAACACTGGTGACTGGGCTGGGACCTTGGGGGACTCGATACTGGACCCCGTCATGGGACACCGTTTCTTCGGAAAGCATCTCGGCATGCAGTGGCAACTGACCAACAGGACCAGGAAACCCTAGGACCGACGGACTGTAAAACAGACATTCACCTGGGTCTCGGGGTGCAATGCACAACTGGGCAAATTGGCCTGGCGTGATCACTTCATGCAAGGCCCACCTGGATCCATCTGATTCGTACACATGCACAGCAGTCCAATCAAAACCAATGCAACTGGCTTTCGGCTTCAAGGAGTTGCTGGACCGTCTGATGTTCCTGCAACCTGACAAGAGCCACGGCAAAGTCTGGCGGGTACAGTACGGCAGCATATCCATGGGGGACATGGACCACATGAAATCTGGGGGGCTTCAACGCTTGCTGAAAAGGTCTCAGGTTCTGGCTCATCACTGGCAACGCTAACCGTGTCCATGCGACCATCATGATCAACCCTGTATGCACCAAATGGCTGTGGATATTCATGAGCTACCCGTGAAAAAGTCCCTCAATTGGCATAAGACCCCAGCAAGGCATCGCTCAGCCATCATGAAATCCCACTCTTCTGATGCCAAGATGTCATCATACTTGGACAACACCCACGGTTCCCACCTGTGCACATCTTCAGCATGATCATAGGTCCTCAGGAAGTCAGGGAATGGCCACATGGCTTGACTTTTGGCGACCAACAGGGTTCTCAAGGCATGCAAATGGTCTAAAGGCTCAAACTGTCGGATTCCTCGCTGGAGTTCTTCGAACAATCCAATGACATGAGATCCTACCCACGCAGCCTGGAGAGGAGATGCAATCTGTCCAATGGCGGACAGGGCCAACAACGGACGTTCACCAAAGTCGACAGTGGGATCTTGGCCGGCTAAGATGGCACATTCACACGGGTGGATGTGACGGGGACAACTGAGGCCAGACCCATCAAAGGCAGACCAAACAATGACACCAAACAGACCCTTTTGTTTGAGTCTTTCACTGGACAGTGGACCGGACCGACAAAGGCAAGGGCACCCCCTCAATTGCGACCCCCAAGCATGCAAAGGACATGGAAGAACCCCTGAGCGCTGCATGAAATATGGACATTCATCATGGGTCATTAAATGTCCCCATTGAACATCACCCAACCATTAGGTATATGGTCTATAATGGCTACTATAAGGTGATGTCCAATATTCCCAAAATGGGACAGTTACCAACCCCTGTTCATCCTCATCGTCAACCTGAAATGCGGCCCTTTCATGTGGCAAGAGTTCCAGTTCTTTCTCATGATTGAAGGGCCATCGGATGATGTACGGAAGAACATGTTTGATCAGGCTGCAATCATGCATGGTGGGCCATGGTCGAATGCGAATGGGGCCCAATGCTGGAGCACTGAGTATGCACCACCATCTGGTTCGGACACATGGCCAAATGTTCTGAAGTCGCAACACAGCATCTGAGTAATGGAAACCAGTCTTCTGACAAAACTTCCGGATGGTGTCAATGACATAGGGATCGCTTTGAGCAGGCTCCACACATTCTAATATGATTACAACTGATCGCAAAAAATGAGCACATGCCAGTGTGGCTGATAGGCTGCTGGACCTGGGGTCCTGGCCTCCACGGCAGGTCCCAAGCCTCGAGTACGGCTGGCAAGCAATGCCTGCACTCAAGGTGGTGGACCTCGGGCATTTGTCCCAAATGGACGCTACTGTTGCTAGCTTGTTGAGATCACCGTGCACTTGGGGGATAGGCATCTGGGCATCGTATAGGTCGAGCATCAAGGCATTCATGTCATTGCAGACTGACGGGCGAAATCCAGTGGTTAGCAAGCCCTGACCCAATCCACCAAAGCCTGAGCAGACTTCGATTACCTCTCTGACGGAATCCCATGTGCAAGCATCATGATGCAAGAGAAAGTTTTCCTCGTCGGCCACCAGCAAGGCCCTGGGCATTGGACGAGTGACCCGGACATTCAAAAGGGAATACGTCAACTTCCCAGCTGGCAAGGGACCACTGAAGGCAAAGAGTTCGCGTCCTACAACAGTTGTCATCAAATGGCAAACCGTAGAAGGGTCAAATGTAACCATGGATGCAACACAGCTAACTCGTTCTCCACCAACGAGAGATCGAAGACATGGGGCATAGTCAGTCATTGCACAACGAAAGCACAAGGGTTCAGAATGGGCAGCTGGACCCGCTGGGAGGTACCTTGAGCCCCAGCTAACCTTAAATCATCATTCGTTTTGGGGTATGTATGTCTCTTTCACATTTGATCTTGCTTACACTTGAGGGTTCCTCAGCGTCAGTTTCACATCGGCACTTTCAGACCATCGGTTATCCATTGAAATTTGGTGACACTGTTGCTTCAGGTTACTCATCTTCAAGTTGTTTGAATTTGGTTCAACTTTTTGACAATACATGGTCTTGAGAGTTGCCATCTGTCCGAAATGGCCTTCTCCGATATATCCATGCCCTACAAATCATCTATGTGATGTTCTTTCATATCTCTGGCCTTTGCTTGCTGTAGTCAAAACTTTGACTTTCACAGGGCTTCGATTTCATTTCGAAATCTATATGGATCGGTCGAATCGATCCATAAAACTCTTGTTGCTTTGTGGGATACTGAAACTGGATCCCAAAATTGAATGGATCAACAGCACCGGAAAAATAGAGCTGCTTGAGTAGCCTTTGACTTGTGAGGGAAGTGCATTAAGTAGAACCTTCAATTTCAACTTCAACTACACTACAACTACAAGTGCATCTACCACAACACAACACTACTCTACAACTAAAATAACCACTACGGCTACAACTACAACTACAAATTACAACTACAAGTGCAACTACATTACCTCTTCTGCCATCCATGCATCACAACAACTCACCTCTCCTATAGTTTCCTATCTTTGAAACTCCCGCCACCGCCTTGTGTGGTACTACTGGTATATATATATATATTTAAAGGTGCAGCAGTGCAACATCAAAATGGAAACAAATTGTATATCGCGTCAGTACATCCAAAGTGAATGACTCCAATGATACAAATCTTGCAACGCATCAGTTGCTCACACAGACTTGGTTGTTGCAAGCCTCCAAGGTCCAAGGTAGTGAATCCTCCATCACGGGTTTGTCACAAGCCAGATTCGAAATTTGCTCAAGAACGCCAGTATCGTGCTGGGAAGTTGTTGACTTTAAAAAGGTCGATGTTTTGCAATAAAATTGTTAATGGTTTGCGTCGTTCGGTTCGAGTAATTACTGGCCCACTTTGAAATGTTGAGACTTGAGGAGCACGCAGTTGAAACTGCATTCAATACAAATCTAAATTCGTGCAGTAGTTGAGCTCACATGTGACGTGCATGTCGCCGACGGAACCTGCATCTGCTGACTATCGACCAGAGGCCTGGATTTCATGGTGTGCAGTTTTATTAGCACATTAATCTGAATTTTAATGTAGATCATTCCATGGATATTCCAAACACATCACCATACTATCAGAATCATATATATATATTGAAAAAACATCGGAATATGAATATCATTGGAACCATTTGGATATGGGTCCCACTTTAACCACCAGGACTTCTAATGTGTCGGGGCAGGCAGATGTCGAACGCCTTGCGCGGTATTTTGCACAACGCTATGGCGGTGACGATCGCCTGTTGGAAGCACGAAAAGCCTTGGACCCAGAGGCGGCGGCGCCAGTCACGTTGTTTTGAAAACATTCGATTTGTTTCGGAAGACTTGTAGATTGTAGACAAACAGAGCGAACATTGGCCATTTGGTTTAGTTTCAGACATGATGGATTTTCCTGTGATTTTCGGATTTTGAAACATTTTTTTCGAATGAAGAAGGAACTTCAGCCCCAACTTTGAATGGAAAACGGGTAAAATCAAACATACTTTATCATGAGAGATATGTTTCTAGGGAATTCGTGCCTGTGTTTCAGTTCAATTTGTTGTGTTGTCAAAATTACACCTTGCCTGACATTTGGTGTTTTTTGTCATTGTTACCGTTACCATGGCAATTAGCATACTCCTGGGGCAACAACATATATGATTCGATATAAACTTTTTGTTTGCAGTCAACCGCCAAATTTGTTCCGTAGGTTTTTTGATTGGACGTTTGGCCAACTCAAACCCCCAATGGCAAACTTGGACATTGAAACAATTTCCGTGGTCCCACAGGAAAATAGGGAAATGTTCGAAACACATGTGCTCGCATGCGACCAGGTTTCATTCGACCTTCCGGCATTTGAGCAAACCCTCCGCAAGTGGGGCGTGAAGGCTGCTGAAACTGTCTCATTTATATTCATCTATGCGGGGTAGCTGGGTTTGAGATAGTTTTGCGACTCCTTGTAACGGATCGTGCCATTGACTTTGTTGTGCTGATAGTGGGGCTACATTTTCCAACTGGTACAACACGACACACCTGGTGAATGGAAACAGGTAGACAATGCAGTTGAACTCTTTGCCCATATAGACGTTGACTTCAGTGGCAGCATTTCAGTTGAGGAGCCGAACCGAGTTTGCGGGTGCGCATTGTGTGAAGGGATGTTTTATGCATTGAATTCATGACTTTGTGTCGAAACTATTGTGATGGACACACTATGTAGTTGGACCACCGCCCGCAACAGCCCGTGGGTATTTTAGTGCATTTTTGTTTGCTTCTGTTGAAATTGATGCGTTGTCTTGGAACTTGCGTCATGTCACCATGGGGTCAGGGGTGGGCGGGTGTGTTAACGTTCCTGGCACTTGCGTCTTGAAGATGATGCTACGCTACCGCACGTTGTCAGGAGAATCGGTAACACCTGCAACTCCAAACGAGTTCTATTCAGCATTAAAGAGATTGCTGAAAGCCACAAGACTTCCAAAAGTTCAGAAGAAAAACGTTTGCTTTGAACACCTGGGAATGTGTGAAAACACGCAAATCCTATGGGCCAAATGACTTGTATGCATCTCCCCCTATAATTGCGAATTCACTTGATGACATTCAAAAAACTAACCGAAGGAAGTTTAGAAGTCAAACAGAGAAAACCTCAGAAGAAAGAAGATCCAAGCGTGCGCAAGGTAGCTGGCGAGATGAGAGATGAAGGAACATCTCCCGTAGGGACATTTCTTTGTTGACATGACATCAGAGTGAAGGATGTCCTTCACGCCAACTCACAACATGTCAGTTGAAACTTCGTTTGATTGATAGTTTTGTGCTCAAAACCAGGTGTGGCAATCAAACGAAAAACGTTTGATTGGATTCCCCGTTGTGTCTCTACCCCATGGCTGGTTTGGCTCCTTTCTATGACGTGACGGCTGACAGACCTCTCACCGATGGGGACATCAATATTACCCATGTTGTTCAAGGAGAACCACTACCTCCTTATCCCTTCCATTCGGTGGCAACGGTGAGCATGACTCGGCCCCTGAGGTCCGTCATCCAGGAAGCCGAGTACACTGGTTGTCAGACATCCAGATTGCAGGCCATCATTCTTGTGACGCGAGTCAACTCTGACCCCTTGACATCGCGGCCTACCTGGTATGTGCCTCCGGCTCCCAACACAGATCATGCTGAACCTGCCCCTGAACGAGACCCAACACATATGCCAACAGCGGATGCCATCCATCGGGCCATCCCCAACCCGGAATTGGATCCGGACATGGTGCAGCGCCATCATCACAGAACCCTTGGCCTCCTGCCCCAATTGGTGGCTGACTTCCATCGAATTGGACATCCTAATAGCTTCAATGCTGGCCGTGCTCTCCTTTGGAGCCTGCTTCGTGATCTTCAGCCTGGCAATCTTCAACAGTATCGACGTGATCGTGGGGGAGAAGCCTGCGAGACGAATTCCCCTTGTGTGAAAACAGTTCGGCGCTTGCAAGTCATCTTGCATGTTTGAGTTGCAGATGTCCAGACAACAAAAATTGCACGCCGTTGTGGCGCGAAGCACATTTCCAAGTCAAAATGCGCAAAACACCTCAGCTCCGGAGCACTTTTAGAAGTTGCGCTGTCGAAAAAGTGCACGCTGTTGTGGCACCAAGCACATTTCCAAGTCAAAACGTGCAAAGCACCTCAGCTCTGGAGCACTTTTAGAAGTTGCGCTGTCGAAAAAGTGCACGCCGTTGTGGCGCGAAGCACATTTGCAAGTGAAAAAGCTAAAAGCACATCACGTTCGGAAAACTTCTCGAAGTTTGCTCCGTCGAAAAAGTGCACGCTGTTGTGGCGCGGAGCATATTTCGAAGTTAAAATGTACAAAACACAGCAGCAGGTTCGGACCACTCTTGGAAGTTGAGATATCGAAAAAGTGCACGCCGTTGTGGCGCGAAGCACATTTCGAAGCCAAAATGTTCAAAACAATACATGTTCGCGCCACTTTTGGACGTTGAAGCGTCGTTTTGCGCGGCAGGCGCAAAGGATTGTGCACCTTGTCAAAAGTGAGCAAAACGTGAGGGTTTTGTAGCATTTCCAAAAAACCATGGCAGGCGTGGGACATTTGAA